GTGGCTCACCATCATTGACATAAATTTATTTACAAGATTTCCTAGTTTACAAGGTCCTGAAGGATAGAGGTACCTACCACTAATAAATCTAGTTTGATCTGCTTATATCTTTCTTCTACCACTATAATTGCACATTTCCTTCCTGCACTGATTTGTGCACCAAGTTTATTTCTCATCCATTCTGAGCTGTTTTTAATATCCTGATTTTGTCATTTTAGTTTCTGCACATACAGATAAATATCTATTCCTGATACCTGGTTCCTATTTCTCTTCTCCCTTCCCCCTCTTTATCATTATATCCCAACCAAGGCATTACTTTATTTGCTGCTGTTGTTATGTGCCATCAAGTCGCTTGTGATAGCAACCTATGTACAACAGCCCTAAACCCTGCTCTATCCTGAGTCAACTTCATTGTCTCTGACACACCCACACCAATTACCCAGTCACTGAATCAATCCATCTCACTGAGGGTCTTCCTCTCCTGTGCTGTTCCTCCACCCTCCCAAGCATGATGTCCCTCTCCAAGGACTGGTCCCTCCTTGCAACATGTCCAAAGCATGTCAGATGAAGCTTCAGAACCCTTGCCTCCAAGGAGAAACCTGGCATCACCCTCTCCAGGACGAACTTAGTCTGTTCTCCTAGCAGTACTCTTCTCCAGCACTACAACTCAAAGGCATCACTTCTCCTTCTATCATCACTATTTGGTCCAGCTTTCTGATGCATAGCAAGTAACTACAAAGACCATGCATGGTCTATATCAAGCACATCTTAGTCTCCAGACTGACATCACTGCTCTTCAGTACTTTGCAGAGGTCTCTGACAGCAAAATCTCCCATAGTAATTCATCTTTTAATTTCCTGGCTGCTGGTACCAAGAGTTGCTCTACCAAGAGTAGAGCCAAGCAAACAGAAGTTGTCAACAATCTCAATCTCTTCATCATCTAGCAAGATGCTATCAATTGTCTGAGTGGTGAGAATCTTTGTTTTCTTGATGTTGAGCTTCAGTCCATATTGAAGGCTGCAGTCCTTGACTTTATACAGCAAGCACTTCAGGTCCTCCTCAGTTTAAAAAAAAAAAAAGGATTGCTACCCATAAAGTTTTTCAATTACTTGCTAAGCATCTGAAAATTGGACAGTGAATAAAGGTGACAAAATAAGAACTGACATGTCTGAACTGTGGTGTTGGAAAAGAGTACTGAATATCCCATGGAATGTCAAAAGAACAAACAGGATAGTCCTTAGAGGCAAAGACGGTGACATTTCCTATCTCATCTGGGCATACTTTCAGAAGTGGGTAGTCCCTGGAAAGAAGTATAATGCTTTTAAAGGGGAAGAATCAGTGAAAATGATGACCCGCAACAAGACGGACTGACACAGGGACTATAACAATGATTCCAGTACATCAGAGAGGATGAGGATGGCACAGGACAGGGAAGGGTAGAGACCTGCTATTCTGAGTTGTTATGAGTCACAGTTGATGCAACAGCAGCTAAAAACAACAATCCATAAAGAGATTCATGCAGTTATGACACATATAACAACATGGAAGAATCTTGAAACCATTATGTTCAGTGAACTGAATCTGTTTGAAAAGAGTATTCTTTAACTCTGCTTTTTTATAAAATGCAGAAGGCAGGCAAATGTATAGTGATCAAATTTTCTTAGTAGCTACCAGCAGTTGTTGTTATGTGCAATTGAGTTGCCTGTGACTCATTGCAACCCTATGTACAACAGCCCTAAACCCTGTTCTATCCTGTGCCAATCTCACTGTCTCTGAGATACCTACCCCAACTACCCCAGTCACTAAATCGATCCACTTAATAGAGTGTCTTCCTCTTCTGCGCTGTTCTGCTACCCTCCCAAGCATGATGTCCTTCTCCAAGGATTGGTCTCTCCTTGCAACATGTCCAAAATATGTCAAAGCTTCAGAATCCTTGCCTCCAAGGAGCAGCCTGATTTCACCCTCTCTAGGTTGAACCTGTTCATTTTCTTAGCAGTCGATGGTATATTCAATACTCTTCTCTAACACCACAGCTCAAAGGCATCAATTCTCCTTATATCATCCCTGGTCATTGTCCAGCTCTCTGACGTATAGCAAGTGATTGCAAAGATCATGGCCTTGATCACGTGCATCTAACTCAGGTAGACCAGAGTGACATCACTGCTCTTCAATACTTTGGGGAGGTCTCTAACAGCAGACTTTCCCATCACAATACCTATTTTGAGTTCCTGGCTGCTGGTGTCAAGAGTGTTGACTATAGAGCCATGCAAACTAAAGCTGTTAACAATCTCAATCTCTTCGCTATCAATCATGATGCTGCCAATTGGCCCAGTGATGAGAATCTTTGTTTTCTTGATACTGAGCCTCAATCCACATTAAAGGCTGCATTCTTTGACCTTGTGCAGCAAGCACTTCAGGTCCTCCTCAGCTTCAGCAAGCAGGGTTGTGTCACATGCATAATGCAGACTGTTGATGAGTCTCCCCCCAATCCTGATACCACATTTCTCCTCACAGAGCCCAGCCTCCCAGATAATGTTCTGCATATAGATTGAAAAGGTATGAAGCTAGGACACATCCCTGGCGTACACCCTTCCCAATTTTGAACCATGCAGTGTTTCCTTGTTCTGTTCTGACGACTGCTTCCTGGTCCAAGTATAGGTTTCGCATTAGCACAATCAAGTGTTCTAGGATTCCCATTCCTCTTAGAGTTGTTAGCCACAGCTTGTTGTGATCCACACAGTCAAATGCCTTTGCATAATCAATGAAACACAGATAGACCTTCCTCTGATACTCCCTGCTTTCAGCTAAGATCCATCTAACATTACCTACGATACCCATAGTACGATGACCCCTTCTAAACTGCACTGCGGGCAGTTCTCCACTGATGTACTGTTCCAGTTGTTTTTGGATAATCTTCAGCAGGTATCTTGCTTCCATGTGATATTAAGGATGTTGTTCGATAATTTCCACACTACAGCATCTCGAAAGGGAAGAGAAGGGCCAGGAGATAGGGACTTCAGCTTTCCCTCACCTAACAGGTAAAAGTGACCCAGAAGCTGGCAGAGCAAGATGGAGTCATAAGTCTTTGGGGCACACGCAGGAGGCAGAGCTCAGAGCCAAAGAAGCATCTCGAAAGAGAAAAGAAGGGCCAGGGGGCAGGGACTTCAGCTTTCAGGAAAACAACACTATATACCAGATCTACAGGACACCACATCACCCTCTCTTGGGAAACATTACCCCTAAACTTAAGAGACACTGGCCACAGCATAAAAAATTGTCAGCAGCTGAAGTGTTCGGAATCACAAAAGCCCATAAAGCCTGAGAATATAAGCTGTCAAATCAAAAGCTGGACAACAGGAGATAAGTGTTGAAAGGAGGGGATGCTGGTAGATGGTGCAGCAGGGAAATGGGTAGGTCAAGACACTTGTATCAAGGGTGGGGGCAATTGGGGAAATATCTTTCATCTGCTTTTTTCTGTAAAATGCTTGTCTGTGTGATACTTTTCTAAATCTTGAGCATTCAGATTAAGACAGACTAGGAAGAAGGATTGGCCATCCACTTTCAAAATAGCAGGCCTCCGAAAACCAATGTATCAGCAGTTAGTGGAAGATATACAAGGAAAGTAAGGTCCTATTGCTTCAGAGACAAAGTAAATTTGGAAACAGATAACAGTGATAACTGAATGATATGATGAACATAATTAATATATATGTGAAGAAAGTTCAAATGGTTTGATTACATATACATATGTATCTCCATAATGAATATTCTTGGCACCACCAGTCAGGATATTAAAAGATGAAATGCAAACAGAAAATCTGCTCTCAGAGACCTCTCCAGAGTAATGAGAACCAATAATGTTAGTCTAGAGACAAAGGTGCCCCTAATCCAGGCCATGGTCTCGCAATTACTTGCTATGCATCAGAGAGCTAGACAATGACTAAGGATGACAGAAGACAAAGCAATGCCTATCAGTTGTGCTGGAGAAGAGTCTTGAATATACCATGGACCACCAAGAAAACAATTAGGTCTGCCGTGGAGAAGGTAAAACGAAGTTTTTCCTTAGTGGCTAGGATTGGGAAGCTCTGTCTCAACATACTTTAGGCATGCAGCCAAGAGGAACCAATCCGTTGAGAAGGACCTCATACTAAAAAAGGTGGAAGACAGCACAGGAGAGAAAAACCCAAGATGAGATGGATTGATAAAGTAACTGGGCAATTGGGGTAGGTGTGTCAGAGTAAGTGAGACTGGCTCAGGACAGGGCAGGCTTCAGAGCTGTTGAACATGTGGCACATAACAACAACATATATATATATACACACACACACACACACACACACACACACACATACACAAGCACATAACAACAATTTAAAAATAAAAATAGAAAATCCATCAAAGTCCTTATCATTTCAGTATTTCCAGAGTTTCTATATCATATTTAAAAATAAGCAAAGTATCAACTATTCCAAAGACATAAAAAAATTTTAAATAAACACTCAAAAAATACTGGCTTATCTCCATATGTAATTTTAAAAAAAAGGATGTAAAGACGTATGTCACTTCTAAAGGACGATACACAGCCAAAAAATTGAGATGTCAGTAAAAATAAAATTCATGTTACTATCAATCCAGTCTGCATCTATCCCAAATCAATCTATCCTGAACCACCAGATCATTTTATACTCACAGATAAATAAATTAATGTTTACATTTTAAATGCAAATAAAAGGGATGTACTACACAACAGCTTTACTTATTATTAAATCTACGTTTCATTTAAATTTTAAAAATGTAACTGGCACTTCAATTCATAAAAAACTCTTGAGTTCATGACAAGATTTTTAAATATTCCATATTTACAAAAAATAAGTTTGAATCACATATATAAAAAGAGCAACAAAATGGTTTACAGTTGCATAGAATTAAAAAGAAAATGATAAAATAAGAGCAAAGCATCAAGTTCAGAATAACATTTACAGATAAACAATCTCACTTACCTTTTTAAACATAACTAGTGAGATAACTGCCGATGCTGTAAAAAGTGCTGCTATAATTATCATCATGATTCCAACAGGAATACTTTTGTTGAGGCCAGTAAGGGATGAAATCCAACCACTACAAATTAATAAAAAGTAAAATTAAATAATTTAAAATAACCTAACATTTTTTAGCACTTATGACCCATATGTATTATTGAGGTTCTTTATTTATTTATGTATCTCATTTCCTATATAACTCAAAAGAGTTCTGCAGGTTTTTTACTAGTAGGGCTGCGTGGTACATAATATGCCATTATGGCTCCTTTTGTTGTTGTTGTGTACCACAGAGTCAGAACCAATATAAAGCTGAGCCTTTGGTGGGTTTTCAGAGGCAGTTACTTGCACAGAAGGAGACTGCCCACCCTTCTCCTGCACAGCAGCTGATGGATTCAAACCGCATGTCTTTGGCACTGTATTAAAGCTTCTTGCCACTTTATCACCAGAGCTCCCTAGAACTTGATTGTTTGTGTGTGTGTGTGTGGATGTATATGTATATAGAGAGAAAATTGGTGTGTTATAACATGTCTATGCATTGTTCTCATAAATTCACTAAGAGATGCTATTTTTAATTTCTATTTTGCAAAAGAGGTCCAAGTCTAAGAAAGTCAGTAACTTTCTCAAAGTCAAAGAGCTAGTAAATTTAGAGCTTGAATTTAAATCCAAACCATCAAACTTCAGAGTCTAAAGTTTAACTATCAAATTATACTGTATTTTTTTAACATACTGCATTTTTTAAAGCCTAAAAATGTTTTCCATTCCCTCTTCTAAATAATCATTATAAATTCTGCTCAATAATGGAAGAAAGTATTTACAAAACATTTATCTAATAAAGAACTACCATCTAGAATAGAGAACTCTCAAAATTCAACATTATTTTTTTAAAAAAATTTAAATTAGAAAATCAGCAAAAGAAATATTTCACCGAAAGGACATAAAATAGCAAATAAGCACATGAAAACTTGTTCACCATCATCAGTCAACACTATAATGCGATATCATCACACGTTAATGGTTGGTGGCAACACCAAATACTGCTAAAGTAGTAGAAAAATGTAATTCATACATTGCTGGTGGGATGTTAAATAATTTACATTTTCTGGGAGATGGCTTTTTAAAAAACATCAAATCTTTTCATATCCTGTGCCCACTTTTCAATTGGATTATTTACCTTTATCTTATTGTGGTGCTCAAGTATTTTATAAATTCTGGATATAAGTCCCTTATCTGATATGTCATTACCAAATACTTTTTCCCAATCTGTGGCTTCCCTTTTCACCCTGATGATGAACTTTTTGAATGTGCATAGGGATTTGATTCTTAAAAGGTTCCATTCCTCTATTTTGTCTTCTCCTGGCTGTAGATTTTTCAGGATACTTGGAAGACTGTTTATGTTGTGGATTACTTCACCAAAGCAGACATTCTGATGGCCAACAAGCACATGAATAAATGTTCAAAATCCCTAGCTCTAAGAGAGATGCAAATCAAAACAACTATGAGATATCATCTCACCCCAGTCAGAATAGCAAAAATTCAACAGGACAGCAAGCAACAAATGTTGGCGAGGTTATAGAGAAACTGGAACCCTTATTCACTGTTGGTGGAAGTATAAAATGATGCAACCACTGTGGAAAGTGGTGTGGCGCTTTCTCAAAAAGTTGCAAATAGAGATACCATTCAACCCAGCAATTCCACTACTGGGAATATGCCCTAAAGAGACCATAACCGCTATCCAAGCAGATATATGCACACCCATGTTTATCCCGGCTTTGTCCACAATAGCAAGGAGTTGGAAACAACCTAAATGCCCATCTACAAATGAATGGATAGAGAAGCTCTGCTATATTCACACAATGGAATACTATTCTGCATTGAAAAACAAGGAACTCATGCAGTATTATTAAAAATGGGTGACCCTGGAGGACATTATGCTTAGTGAGTAAAATATCTCAGTCACAAAAATATAAATACTGCATAGTGCTACTGTTGTACAATGGGACTGACATCAAGGTTGGGGTAAGACTGAGAAAAACTGGATAGATCATATATACTGCCTTGAAACAGATGAGGGAGAGAACAGTTTAAAAGTGAGAGAACAGTTTAAAAGTGATATAGGCTTGGGTATTATGGTTATCACAGGAATCCAGAATTAATGTTGCATAGTAGAGTGCATTCAGGGTGGGGGGAAGGGGGAGGGGAGCTACAATGAATGAATGGAAATCCAAAATCTCTGTAAATATGCATTAAAATTAATACAATTTAAGAAAAAAATCAAACCTCAGACATCTATCCAAAAGAACAGAAAACCTGACCTGATGTAAAAACCAATTCATGAATGCTCATAATAACTGTTTTCATACTAGACTCAACCAAGAAACAGCAAAGATGTCCCTCACTTCCGAGAAACAGCAAAGATGTCCCTCACTTCCTTTACTGCCTTCCACAATCACTAGCCCAGCAATCGCTCAGACTATAATCTCTTCCTTCATGGTACCAGTAACATGTATTTTTATTTAAATTATGTTTCCATTTTTTAAAACAGCAGATTATGTATAATCTTTAAACTGGTTCATCAAAATGTTATGTCTTGGGAAATTATTAATTTGTATCTTTCACCAACTTTGCTTTTCTGCTTAACACTTTTTATGTAAGGATAACAGATTAGAAGCTTAAAACTGAAGTAATTAGAACAAACAACTTACCAGTTGCCCCAATTATGGAATCCTGCCGCCTGGAGTACATGTACAGCAAACTGACAAATGTAGACAAAGAAGAATACAAAGAATCGAAATGAACTGTCACTCCTTAAAAAAGAGAGAGAAGGGGAAAATGTCATTTTTATTACTATCTGTAAATTAAATTCAGACTGATATTCAATTCTTTTAAAGATAGCAACTAATTGGTAACATAATAATAATAAGGTTGCTTGAATCCACAATTAACACCCTTGGTACCAGCAGTCAGGAAATAAGGAGACAAACTGCACTGGGAAAATCTGTGGTTAAGGGAACTTTCCAAATTATTGAGGAATAATGATGTCAGTTTGAGGACTAAAGTGCATTTGATTCAGGCCATGGTCTTTCTGATTACTTGTTATGCATCTGAGACCTGGACAATGAATAAGGCTGATAGAAAAAAAAACTGACGCTTTTCAGTTATGGTGCTGGAGAAGAGCACTGAACATCCCATGGACAATCAAGAGAACAGATATGTCTTAGAGAGGGTGTAGCCAGAGTGCTCTTTGGAGACAAGAATGATGAGGCTTCGCCTCACATACTTTGGGCATGTTGCTAGGAAGGGCTGTTCCTCGGAGAAGGACCTGATGCTGGGAAGAAGGGTGAGGGTCGGCGAAGGAGAGGAAGACCCTCAACCAGGTGGATTGATAAGATGACTGCTGCAACGGGTACTTGTATGTCAGGAAGTGTGAGGATGGCACAGGATAGAACAAGGTTCAGATCTTTTGTTCATAGGGTCACTATAAGTCGTGCTCAAGTAGATAGCACCTAACAACAACCCCTTTAAATACTAAATGAGTATGTGACCATGATTCAAATTTTGTCTTTTAAAGTTCTAGTTGGACCATAATCCATCTTGGCAATCATACCCTAAAATACTTTTGCTTTACCTTTTTAAAAAATTTCATCTAATCCTAATACAGATACTAAATTAATTTTTCAAGGACATCTAAAAGGCAACTGTCAAGTTTATTTGGAAAGGAAAAAAGACCTCAAGTAAACAAAGCGCTTCTGAAAAACAAAAATAAAGTGGGAGGCATAGCACTTGATAACCTCAAAACTACAGAGCTACTACACAGCTATAATAACCAAAACAGCGTGGTACTCGTACAGTAGTAACAGGCACACAGATCAACGGAACAGACTTGAGAACCCAGAAATGGGCCCAGCTATCTATGGTCAATATTCAAAAACGAAACAAAACCTATCAAATGGGGAAATGGCAACATCTTCAACAAATGGTGCTGGCAAAACTGGACTGCTACCTGCAGAAGGCTCAAACAGGATCCACATCTCGCACCATACAAAAAGACCAATTTCAGATTACAAAAGATTGTAAAATCATATAGCATTCAGAAGCAACAATTTCAAAAAACACTATATAAAATGGAAGAGACTGGAGAACGTTATGCTGAGTGAACTCAGCCTCATACGGACAAATATTGCATACAACCATTATTGTAGAAATAGAAGGATAACTAGTAAAACATGTATGAGGACTCAAGGGGGAAAAGGATGAGGCAGAGGGGTGAAGTTGGGTAGTGGGGGGAAATCATAGGGTCTCATAATTTGGTGGGTGGAGAGACAGGGTAAAGCAAATGAGAAAGATCCGGCAGGGACGTATAAAGATGAGATAATGGTGGGCAAGGTCCAATGGTGATTAATTTTATAAAACAGAATGTATGGAAATGATTATATGAAACATAATATCAGTGAAACTGTGTGTGTATGTGTGTGTGTGTGAGAGAGAGAGAGAGAGAGAGAGAGAGAATCTGCATACACACAAAAAATAATCTCAAAAAAGTCCATGTAACTGTTTTACTAAGGCATAATGAATACTATAATAATAAATGTCATTTTTTACATATATACAAATACTTAAAGTATACAACTTGAGAAGTCTGACATAGCGATGGATGTTTCCTAATAATAAACATATTGATCATCTACTAAAATTACAAAGATTTCTACAAGTTTTCTTGTACTTATGGGTATTCCTTCCTCCTACTTCTTACCACCCAAGACCCCACCCTGCTATTCAGCCAATATAGGTACTTTCTGTCACTAACAATCAAGTCTGTCTTCATCTGAAGCTCTACTAAATCTGTTTAACTTGTTTAACCAATTTTTCTCTTTATGGATAAAAAGAACATAAAATGTGTTCCATTATACATGTAAATAGGCTAATTATGAATTGTTGTTGTTGTTAAGTGCCTGCGAGTCATAGACAACTCATAGCAACCCTATGAATGAAAGTCTTCAACACTTGTGTGACTTTCATCCTTTCTCCAGGGTCATAGGGTTTCTGGAGGCAAGCTCTTACGGAAGTGGATGCCACTCCTGCTTCCAAGCTTGTTTTAATCGGGGATTGCCACCAAACACTGTCCACCATTAAGGCATGGGACACATCAGTGTCACAGTGTTCAGCTTCACCTCAACCACAAGTTACCTCTGTACGGCAAGTGGACACACCAGGGCTATACCATGTAGAGGAATCTTTGAACAAAAACAATGAAAAACAGGCCTGAGGGCTGCGGGTTAGAAGTCACCCACCTCTGGCATGGTAGCATAACTTTCTCTCCACTAGGCAAACCGATCTCTCTCTACTATTTCTAAACACTTTAAAGTCCTCTTAGAAACTATACATCCCAGAACTTAATTACTATCTCAGTTCTCATCTCCAAGAAAGTATAAACCTTTCTCGATTTTATCTGTAAAAACGCAAAACAAATCAAATGCACATTTTTAAAAGTTTGCCTTTGCCCATCAACAAACTAATGGATAGAGAAGCTGTGGTATATTCACACAATGGAATACTATGCTGCATTAAAAAACAAGGAATTCATGAAACATTACACAAAATAGGTGACCACGGAGGACATTATGCTGAGTGAAGTATCTCAGTCACAAAAGAACAAATACTGCATTGTGCCACTGTTGTAAATGGGACTGACATAGGAGGTGGGGGTATGGGAAGACTGAGAAAGTGGATAAATAATGTATACTGCATTGAAACAGATGAGGGGAAGAACTATTTAAAAGGGATATATGATTAGGTAGTATTATCATGACAGGAGTCCAGAATGAAGGCAGCATAGTGGAATGGAATTGAGGGGATGGATTGTTTAACAATGAAATAATTTTTCTTTTACTTTTCAAGGAGAAGAGTGAATTGGGGGGAGTAGTGGGCAGGGAGAAAAATGCAATAATGAATGAATGAAAATCCAAAGTCTCTGTAAACTTTAATTAAAATTAATTTTTAAAAAAAGACCAAAAAAAGGTTGCCTTGCTTTTTAATTATACAGTCAATGAAAATACTCCACTTCTCAAAATACCTGGAAAAACTGGGTAATGGTAGGCCTAGTTCAATGGTGATTAATTTTATAAAACACATTGAATGGGAATGATTTTATGAAACACAATGTAAATGAAGGACAGTAAGAAACACAATGCATAAGAACTTTGTAAGCAAAGCAATGTAAAAATAAAAAAATTTTAAAAAGTGAAACGGACTATCCTATTAAAACCAATTTTCTAAATACAAAACCTTAAATTTGTTAAGGTCTTAACACAAAAAAAAACTTAAACTAGTTCAAGTGCAAAAAATAATTAACTACAAATGATTTCACATTTACAAACACTTGAGAACCACCATAAAGCATAAACACATTTAAGCAATGCAATCATAGTCTGACTATTAAGTTCATTTGACAAAAGTGCCCAGTAAAGCTGAGGAGATCTGAAAAAAACCTCAAAACCCCTGACAAGAAGGCTGTATGAAAAGCCAGACAGAAAAAAGTCCAGAAGAAAAACCATGCTTTGTGTAGAGGACTTCTGGTATCTAGAATCATAGGTGGTAGGGATCTTACAGGAAAGGAGAGTATTTATAAAATATGCTAATTTGTATATTAGCCATCTTAAGGCAAAAAAGAAAGCAGAGATTTAAACATTGAAATTCGAGTGATTTTGTTACCTACCTTAGTTTACAATGAAGTATTGACAGTATCACAAATATTTATTCATAATTACACCTAATTTTCTCATGTAGAGGGAGACAGAGAAATTCCATACTACTTATTCTTGCCATTCTCAGTCTTCCAGATAAAAGTGTATTCAAAAACTGAACCTCAAATAAGCCAGTAATCTTTTACTTAAGCTCTCAAAATAATGTAACATGAAGTTTAAGCAAACCTTTGCTAGAAAAATAATTTGCCAAATTACCATAGTAAATCTGAGAAAATATGTTTCTATGAACATATACAATGTATCTCACATTCCAAATAAATACTGTTAATACTAATTACAACTAAATCATCCAGGAGACTGGGATGTATGAGAAGAAATGTGCATTAGGATTGGAGATTCATCAACAATCTGCATTATGAAGATGATACAACCCTGCTTGCTGAAACTAAGGAGAAGCTGAAGCATTTGAGGCAGAAGGTCAAGGATTAAAGCTTTCAATATGGACTGAAGCACAACATCAATAAACAAAGATTCTCACCACTGGGCTAATTGGCAACATTATGATAGATGGTGAAAAGACTGAGATTGTTAACATCTTCAGTTTGCTTGGCTCCACAAACACTCTTGGTACCAGCAGCCAGGAAATCAAAAGACAAATCACACTGGGAAAGTCAGCTATCAGGGACCTGTACAGAGTACTGAAGAGCAATGACATCAGTTTGGAGACTAAGGCACATCTGATTCAGGCCATAATCTTCACAATTACTTGCTATGCATCAGAGAGCCAGACAATGACTAGGGATGATAGAAGGAGAATTGAGCTGTGGTGCTTGAAAAGAGTGTTGAATATACCATGGACTGCCAGAAGAACAAACAGGTTCGGATGAAGCCTGGTTGTTCCTTGTAGGCAAAGATTCTGAGGCTTTGTCTGACATACTTTGGACATGTTTCAAGGAGGGAACAGTCCTTGAGGATGATTATCAAGACTGGAGGAGCGGAGGGACAGAGAAAGAGAGGGAGACCATCAAAGATGGTCTGATACAGTGACTGGAGGAATGAGGGTATGTGTGTCAGACAGTAAAGCTGGCACAAAATAGAGAAGG